AGGTGCTCTACCACTGAGCCACACCCCCAGCCCCTCATTGGGGGATTCTAGGCAGGTGCTCTACCACTGAGCCACACCCCCAGCCCCTCATTGGGAGATTCTAGGCAGGTGCTCTACCACTGAGCCATACCCCAGCCCCTCACTGGGGGATTCTAGGCAGGTGCTCTACCACTGGGCCACACCCCAACCCCTGACTGGGGGATTCTAGGCAGGTGCTCTACCACTGGGCCACACCCCAGCCCCTCATTGGGGGATTCTAGGCAGGTGCTCTACCACTGAGCCACACCCCCAGCCCCTCACTGGGGGATTCTAGGCAGGTGCTCTATCGCTGAGCCACACCCCAGAACTCTTTACTTTTTATTTTGAGAAAAGATTTCAGTAAGTTGTTGACGACTCCCTACATAGCCCAGACAGATTTTGAGCTCATACTTTTCCTGCCCCTGCCTTCTGAGTGCTAGTGTGATAGGCCCATGTCACCACTCCTGTTGAGAATTAGTCTTAATGCACAGAGTTGACTGATATCACACCTACACAGAGCTTCCAGCTGCTCATTCATGACAATTTTACCACAAGCTTTAGTTTCTTCCTTTTGCATGTGGATATTTCACTTATTTATTTTTAATGAAGTGTATGTTTATCTCTGTGTGGTTATGTGCATGTGAGTGCAGGTGCCCATGGATGCCAGAAGAAGGAGTTGGATCCTCTGGAACTGAAGTTATAGCTGCCTGTGAATCACCCAATATGGGTGTGGGGAACCAAACTTGGGTTCTCTGCGAGAGCAACAAGTATTCTTTAACTACGGAGCCATCTCTCAGCCCCTCTTTTAATTAATTAATTAATTAATTATTTGTTTGTTTGTTTGAATTTAATAATCACACACACGTGTGTGTGTGTGTGTGTGTGTGTGTGTGTGTGTGTATATGTGTGTGTGTGTGTGTGTGTGTGTGTGTGTGTGTGCTGTGTCTTGGTATGTGAATGCATACATCCTATGTCCTGTGAAGTCCCTGGTGATTCTTCTATCTCTCCTGCCCATCTCTCTACAGGAGTGTCGGGACTGCTGATGTATGCTGCTGCATCTGGCTTTTCTTATTCGGGTTTTAAGGGTTGGGTTCAAGTTGTCAGGATGGCACAGCATGCGCTTTATCTTCTGAACCTTCTCACTAGCCTGAGGCATGTTTTGAATAGTCACTTGTTTTGACAGAAATGATAGTCATGTTTTAGATAAAACCAGTCTCCTTCTCCCTGCTGGGTCCTATCCAACCTGCCCAGTTAGTTGGTAATGCCTGTCTGAACTGACCTCCTTCTCTCTCTGTCCTTGTTTAGTGGATTCTGAATATCTGATGTTACTGATGACGGTCATATCAGCTGTCATTCCTCAGGACACCACATATGTTGTTTTAAAAAATTATATCTATTTTTTATTTTAAATTATTTACTTACTATTTTGTGTGTATGTGGTGTGTGTGTGTGTGTGTGTGTGTGTGTGTGTGTGTGCCATAGCACATGGGCTCATGCATGATAACAGGTTTATGGAGTAGGGTCTCTCCTTCTACCTTTTATGGGTTCTGGGGATGAAACTTTGATTGCCAAGTTTGTGCAGCAAGCACCTTTAACAGCTGAGCCACCTCACTGACCCTTCACCTTGTTTTCTGAGACAAGGTCCCTCATTGAACCCAGATCTCACTAATTAGGTGAGGCTGTCTGGCCAGTGAGCACAGGGATCCTCCTGTCTCTACCTCCCCAAAAGGGATTACAAATGTGCATCACTATGCTTGGATTAAAGAAAAAAAAATATTATTCTTTCTGTCTATCTACCTATGTATCTGTCTGTCTTGTCTATATGTATCTGTGTTTGTGTGAGTATATGTGGTATATGTGTAATCTCTCTCTCTCTCTCTCTCTCTCTCTCTCTCTGTGTGTGTGTATGTGTGTGTGTACATGAGCTTATTGTGTGCAGTGGCCAGAGGAGGATGCTGAGTGTTCTGCTGTATTAGTCTCCACATTGTTCTTTTGAGACAGTGTCTCCCACTGAACCTGGAGCTAAGCTGGCAAATTCATGATTCAAGCTTATGAAGACTAACCTTGGTTGTTAAACTTGATACCCCTAGAAAGAGAGAATCTCAGTTGAGGAACTGCCTCCATCAGATTGCATGTTTGTGGGGGAATTTTCTTCATTTCTGATTGATGTAGGATGGTCCAGCCCACTGTGGGCCTGGGCTACGTGAGAAAGATAGCTGAGTATGAGCCAGAGCAAGCAGGCCAGTGAGCACTATCCCTCTGTGGTTTCTTCCTTAAGCTCCTGCCCTGGCTTCATGATGGACTGTAACCTGTAAACTAGAATAAATCCTTGCCTCCCCCAAGTTGCTTTTGGTCACGGCATTTATCACAGCAACAGAAAGCAAACCAGAACAGAGCCTCAGTGATTCTCCTGTTCCCATGCTCCCATAGGACTGGGGTTCCAGGTGCACATAGCCACACCCGACTTCTGTGTAGGTGCCTGAGATTCAAACTCAGGCCCTCCTGCTTACAGAGCAAGCACTTTATCGACTGATAGATGCCCCCAGTTCCTGAATTCTGCATTTCTAAAGGACATAGAGAGTGGACTAGTGACAGAAGAGGTTCACCCTAGAGGTTTCCCAGAGTCTGTGGTGCATTTTGATTGTGAACTTGCAATCAAGTTTGAGAGACACCTAGGAGATTTGTAAAGCATACTTCTGGGTATGTCTCTGAGGGCAATTCCTGGGGGAGTTTGCAAAGACCCACCTTGAATATGGACAGAAGCATCCCACAAGCTAGAATAAGAGGGAGTAGGGATGAAACTCCCTGGTATAAACACGCTCTCTTTCTGTTCCCTGCCTCTGTGAGATGAGCAGCCTCCGCCATGTGCTCCCACTGGCATGATGACCCACCTCACCCTGGCCCCGATGTAACAGAGCCAGCCCACCCCAGCCTGAGCCCTCTGAAACCCTGAGCCCAGTTAAACCTTTCCTCCCTGAAGATTCTTTTTAGCCTCAGATATCTGTCATAGTAAGGAGATGTCTGGGTAACACAGCCTCCAAGAGGGCTGGAGGCGCTTCTAGGCTCAGTTATAAAGGACCCACCAGACCACTCTTAGCTTCATTTCCTCTTAATTAGTTCTAATTTCCCTGTCATCATTATGTACTGACATTGAAAGCCTTCAAGTCCCTGTAAGCAGTTGGCAGTAGCTGGCCTCATTAATCTTGCCCAGTTCCTGCCGATTGAAGATTCCTGTTTGCTTTAGAGACGAGGCATGCACTCGTGTATACTCCTCCCTCGTGTATCTCAGTTCTATAATACAAACGCGACCAAGGGTCTCCCAGCACCCTCCTTCTGTCCCCTTGCCCAAGTCCTGGCCTGGGACAAAGTGGTCACTGTCTGATGGGAGGTTGGGAGGGCTAGGTCTGTGTCCCATTGTACTATGTTCTTGGGGACAAGGATACAGAGTTATCTTGACCTCCAAGCCCCTGTGAGGCCATTTCCTGAAAGGATTAGTTGAGAAGGAAAGACTCTCCCTCAGATTAGGCAGTAACTTCCGGCAGCCCAGGTATAAGGAGTGTTGAGGGGAGAGCAGGGCTGCTCGCCTAGCTGCCTTCCCTTCTCCCTGGTGAGTCCATCTGCTGACATGACACTCCAGCTTCTGCAGCCTTCTGATGTGGACTAAAGACACCAGCAGCTCTTCAGGAGTCCTGCAGTCCTTCAGGGGTTGTATTTTCAACATCTGTTTAAAGCTTTTATTTCTTTCAAGACAGACTCTCATGAGCCCAGTCTGGCCTTGAACAGGCTGTGTAGCCAACGATGACTTTGAACTGCTGATCCTCCTGCCTCTGCCTTCCAGTTTATGCATGGCTGGGGTGCTGAGGTAGAACCCATGGCTTCATGCTTCCCGAAGAAGCTGGGTTCTGATGGCGACGGTGTGGTTACTTTTTCTGTGGCTGTGATAAAACACACGACCTAAAGCAGCTTGCAGGAGGGCGAGTCCATTGGGCTTATGGTTCCAGAAGAATGAGAGTCCATCATGGTGGGGAAGCGTGGCAGCGGGCAGGCGTACTGACAGGAGCAAGTGGGTGAGAGTTTATGTCTTCAGCTGCAAGTGTGAAGCAGAGAGAACACTCTAGAAGCAGGGAGTGGCCACCAACACTCAGAGTGTTGCCCTGCTCCCTCTCCAAACAGTCCCACCAACTGGGACCAAGTGTTCCAATGCCCGAGCCTATGGGGTCATTTCTCATTCACACCACCCCTGCAACCTCTTCTCCTCCTCTTCTCCATCCCTTCCTACCCTTCTCCTCCCCCACCACATGTTTTACCCCTCCTTCCCTCCTCCCATCACTCCCCATTTCCACCTCCTTCCCTCTTCCTCTTCCTCCCTCCCCTCCCTCTTCCTCCTCCTTCTTATCCACCCATCCCCTCTCCTCCTCCTGTTCCTCATCCCTCCCCTCTTCCCCTCCTTCTTCCCCTTTAACCTTCCTCCTCTTCTTTTTTCTTGTCTCCTCCCAGCTTCCCCTCCTGGATGTACCCTTCAGATGAACAGTCCTTGCTGAGACTAGAGGAAAAAAAAAACCCAGCCAAATGTTGTCTTTCAGGGTATGGAGGCTATTCTTGCTCATCAACTTGACTACATGTGGAATGAACTAAAATCCAAAAATGGAGGGCACACTTGTTAGGGATTTTTTTTTTTTTTTTTTGCTTAATTTGAAGTAGGTAGATCCACTTCCAATCCAGACCTTGGAGGTAGGAAACACATGCCTTTAATCTGGATCTTGAGTCAGGAAGATACACCACTAATCTGGGCCACACATGCTGGAAACCTGTATAAGGGCATGGTAGAAGGAAGGTTTTTTTTGCCCTTTGCCTGCTTTTTTCACCTTTTTAGCAAGTCCATTTCTTTACCGGCATTAGAGTCTATCGCATTGTGATTCCAGCACATACTGAAGATCAGCTGAGACATCCTGTCTCATGGACTGAATAAACACTGGATTGTTGGACCTTCTGTTCACATTCAGCCGTTGGTGGATTAGCAGGACCACAGCCTATAAGTCATTCTAATAAATCCCCTTTCTATATATGGAGAGACATTCATTCTAACCCTGGCTAATACACAGGGTAAACTGATATTTTTTTCTTGCTGGTTGTTAGTTTTTTGATACGAAATCTGGAGATGTAACCCAGACTCCTCCAGAACTCCCAATGCTCCTGCTTCACTCCCCCACCCTCCCAAGTGCTGGGATGATAGGTGTGAACCACCATCCTCATCAAATTGGTGTCCCTTGATTCCTAGGCATGCATCCTGCTTTGTTGGTGATGCCCACAAATAAGGAGACCCAGGTTCTGCCTCTGGGAAGGAGAACTCTGGGCTGGGGCCCGGCTGGGCTCAGAGGCATCCATTCCAGAGTCCTTTGCTTGGCATTCCTTGTCTCCCTTGCTTCTGGATTCCCCTCCAGCTGCCTTTGGTGGCTCAGCCCAGCTGCTGACAGAGGTGATTACAGCCTGTGAATGATAACATAATTCAGTGCTCCTCAAGGAGAGTCACTATCAGAAAGACTTTTTTTTAAAGAGGGGAAAAATATATAATATAGTGGTTGAAAGGGGCTATCTTTCTTCCTAGAAGAACAGTTATTAATCTCTTCCTAGTACATTTTCATATCATTCTAGACATTTATTTCCAGGCTGTGATATTATAAAACCAGGCTTCTGTGTCAGTTTTGATGCGGTGTAACACGCCGGAACATGAAAAGGCGTAATTACCGCCGTGGCCATCGGAATTGCTAACGAGAGCCTGACATTTTCAAATCAGCCCTAGTTTTCAGTGATCAGGAAGCAGGGGGGAGGGGGAGGGGGTGGCCTCAGCTACAACTGCTGCATGTCAATGAGGCAGGTCAGGCTCTGAGCACAGCAGAGGGATGGGGCTGGGTGGGCACATTTAGATTCTGTGAGCTGAATTTACTGACCAGCCCTGAGGGACCAATGTGAGGGGGAGAATATTTGTTTCAACACAGCCTTTGGCTGTCTGTCTAAGGGATAAGGTGAGTGTGTGTAGGGAGTGTGTGAGTGTGTGTGTGTGTGTGTGTGTGTGTGTGTGTGTGTGTGTGTGTATGTGTGTTAGTATACTCTGTAGAAGCTGGAGGTTAACTCCTTAGATGTCTTTTCTCATGAGCCATCCACATTTAAAAAACTAATTTAAAAGTATTTATTTTATTTTCAAGTATGTGTATGTGTGTGAGTCAGAGAGAGAGAGAGAGAGAGAGAGAGAGAGACAGAGAGAGACAGAGACAGAGACAGAGACAGAGACAGAGATAAAGAGAGAATGTGAATGCAAGTGTCTACAGAGGCCAGAAGAAAACATTGGATTCTCTGGAGCTATGGTTCCAGGCCATTGTGAGCCAAACAGTGTGGGTGCTGGGAACTATAGTTAGCAAGAGCAGTAAGTGCTCTTAACTATCACTCCAGTCTTATATATAAACACACACACACACACACACACACACACACACACACACACACACATATATATATATTTAACATTTATTGCGCACACATGTTTGTATGTGTGTGCCCACCACAACACACTTATGGAAGTCAGAGAACAACTTTCAGGGGCCAGTTCTCTTTGTTCATTATTATGGGCTCAGGGGATCAAACTCAATTCTTAGGATTGGTAGCAAGGTCTTTATCCAGTGAGCTGTCTCACTGGCTCTACTTTGTTATTTGAGGTAGAGTCTCTCAGTAGAACCTGGAATTCACGAAATAGGAAAGAATAGCCAACCGTCAAACCCCAGGGTTCTGTATCTGCCTCCCTGCTTCCTAGGGATTGTACATCACCATAGCTGCTTTTTTTTCTTTTTTTTTTTTTTTTAAACATAGGTTCTGGAACTCAAACTCAGGTCCTACTGTTTGAACCATCTGGGTTGTCTCCCAGCCTTGGCATACCTGCATTCTTTGAGTTGAAGCCAGCAGAAAATATTGAGAGAGCAAAGGCGTTTCTTCACCTTCATACTGCTTGTTCTGTTAGCTTTAACCGTCAATTTGACACAGCTTAGAGTTACCTGGGAAAGGAGTCTCAGTTGAGGGGTTTCTCAGATCAGATTGTCCCATGGACATGCCTTTTAGGGATTGCCTTGATTATTAATTGATGTAGGAGAGCTCAGTTCACTGTGGGTGGCACCATTCCCTGGGCAAGCGGTTCTGTACCGTATAAAAAAAGCTAGCTGATTGTGAATTGGTGAGCAAGCCAAAAGCAGCATTCCTCCATGGTGTCTGCTTCAAATTCCTGCCTTGACTTCCCTCAGTGATGTATTATAATGTGAATTAGACTGTTTCCTCCCCTAAGTTGCTTTTGGTCAGAGTATTTTATGACAGCAGCAGAAAGAAAACCAGAACCCCAGACGACAGGAGGTTTGCTGTATACTCTTTGGCTTTAGTTCTTGCTTCTCCACCATGGAGATGATTCAAGACTCCTAGTGGTTGCCCAAAGTCTGGAATGTTCCTGAGTCCTCTCTCTCTCTCTCTCTATTTTTCCCCCCAATACATAGCATGTTTTGACTTGATGGTGAAATGTCCCTCACAGGCTCTTGTATTTAAACTCTTAGCCCCTAGCTGGGTGCTCTAATTTGGAAGACAATGGAAACTTTGAGGCAGGAGGCATGGCTGGCAAGAGAAGGTCACCAAGTGACTTTGGGAGTTAAAGCCAAGCCCCACTTCTGTCCCTCTTCCTGTTTCCACCAGTGTGTGAAGAGCCTCCCTCAGGCACTCCCACTGCCTCCCAGTGTGTGGAGAGCCTCCCTCAGATCCCCCCCCCCAAACCTCCCCACCATGTTGGACTGAGGCTGTGAAGCCAAGAGAAATCTTTCCTCCCTTAAGTTGCTCCTCTCAGGTATTTTGTCACAATGACCCAAAGACAAGTTGATACAACTGTGCCAGGTAACTTCTGTCACTGTGAGAAAACGTCTGGGCAAAAGAAGATTGTAGAAGAGCATTTTACTGCTCAGCCACACCTCCAGCCCCTCACTGGGGGATTCTAGGCAGGTGCTCTACCACTGAGCCACACCCCAGCCCCTCACTGGGGGATTCTAGACAGGTGCTCTACCACTGAGCCATATCCCCATCCTCAGCTATTTATTTATTTGTTTGTTTATTTATTTATTTTGAGATAGGTCTTACTTGGTTGCCCAGATTGGCTTTGAACTCACTCCATAGTCTTGGCAGGCCTTGAACTTGTGATCCTCCTGTGTCCATGCTCCTAAGTAGTTGTAATGCAACCTCCAAAGTCAGCAGATTGACAAGGAAAGATCTTAAAAAAAACCCAACAATTTTATTTTACATCCTGACTTAAGTTTTCCCTCCCTCTTCTCCCAGCCTCCCCAACTTCCCCTCTGCCCTCCCCCATCCATTACTCCTCTGTTTCTGTTCAGAAAGGGGCAGGCCTTCCATGGGTATCAACAAAATATGGCATATCAAATTGCAGTAAGACTAAGCGCCTCCCCTTGCTGGGCAAGGCAACCCTGTATGACGAATAGGGTCCCCAAAGCCAGCCACAGTACTAGGGACAGCCTCTGCTCCTACTGTTAGGAGTCCCACAAGTAGACCAAGATACACAACTGTCACATATATGTAGAGGGTCTAGGTTGGTCCCGTGCAGGCTCCCTGGTTGTCTGTTCAGATTCTATGAGCTCCTATGAGCCAGTTAGTTTTTTTCCTGTGGGTTTTCTTTTGGTGTCCTTGACCCTTTCCTCCATCTCTTCAGCAGGATTCCCTGAGCTCAGCCTAGTGTTTTGCTGTGGGTCTTTGCATCTGTAGGAAAGCTCTTACTTAATGGGTCTTACTTGGACAATTCCTATGCATAGTGAGGTATAGTGAGAGTCCTGTTCCATGTCCCTTGTGGCTCAGGGATGTGGCCAGTGGTGGCAGACCAATCTGGGTTTCTCTAATATTTTTGGCTTGGTGACAGGTGAAAGAAACACAATATAGGTCATTCAGGGCCTTGACAATACTCTTCATAGGCCAAAGATGAGAAAGAAAGTGCCCTGTTGTGTTTATAACTGAGAATAAGACTCTGTGTGTTATTCATTTGGGAGCTGGGTGGCCGGCCCTCCAAAGAGCAAAAACAAACAACAACATGCCCTCTTTGGAGACATCCTTCTTCCATTACTATTTCTTTCCATCTATCTTTTGCATCTCTCAATTTTTCTATCTCCATCCACCCACCCATCCACCCACGAGTCCATCTCTCTGTTATCCATTTATACATCTATCATCTTTCCATTCCCCCACCCACTCACTCATCTGTCCCTCTATTCACCTATGCATCTGCCCGTCCACTTGCCTCTGGCTTGCTACAGAGGGGATTTAGGATGAAGACAAATCTCACTGGGAGCTGAGTTTTCTCAATGTGGTACTGGAGGCGGTCACTGCCCACTCTTTAGAGCTGCTTCTCTCCACCAGGGCTCAGTTTCCTTGTCCATAAAAGGTGGAGTTGGGGGCTGGAGAGTTAGCCAGTGCTTAAGGGCATTTGTTATTCTTGCAGAGGACCTGGGTTTGATTTCCACTACCTACAAGGTGGGTCACAATGATCTGTAATTCCAGCTCCAGAGGATCCAATGCACTCCTTTGACTTCCATGGACACCAGGCACACATGTGTGCACATACATACATACATACATACATGCAGGCAAAACACTCATATACATAAAACTAGATAGATAAATCTTAAGAAAAACAAAAGGCCGGAGTTAGACCAGATGTTCCCAAGTGTCCCTAAAGTACGTGGAACTTGGGAACCACCTCGATCCTCTCTCGCTGAGGATCCAGGCTCCCTTTCCAGCTTGAAAACTGTTTTGCAGCCACAACTGGGTCTCTGGGGCAGTGGGGAATCCAAGAAGCCAAGAGGCCACCTGGCTCGGGTGAGCAGTGAGAACTGGGATGATTTGTGAGGCCATAGCGGAGGGTGGTAGGACCGGGGTTTCCCGGGGCGGCTGGCATAGTCTGACATCTGCTGTTTTTCACTCCAGTGTGACTGATTGGCTCCAGATGGGCCCCCGTAGACTGCTTTCAGCTGTTCTTGGACGCGTGCCAACTGGCTGCGTTTTATCTTAGAGACCTCTCGGCGGCAGAGGACTTCATCCTAAACTGCTAGAGCCAAGAGGCCAGTGGATGCTCCAAGAGGACCCTGATTCCAAAGGACCCCTTATTCCCCTGAGCAGTTACCCTCGGTTCAAAGACACGCCTGCCCTAGGTTTTGCCAAGGGAGGGCTGCTGCCGGGCTCGGCAAGGCTGGATTATGGCAAAGCTCCCAGTTTCGGGAAGGCTGCTGCGTTAGGTCAGCCAGTTCTCTGGGCTGATGCCTGTGTTTCTTCTGCCGCGCACAGGAAATCTGACCTCGCTGAAGGGACTTGGGCAGAGTTCCTAGTCTCTAACATTCCCCGCCCCCCCCCCCCCCCCCCCCCCCCCCCCCGCCACAGATCCCTTTAGACTCTATTGGCTCATAACCTTGGGGACAAAACCATTTGCTTTCGGAGTCTTTCACAGAACAGCTTGGCGGAGGGAGAAAGACCCCTGGCCAGAAGTCAGGACACTGAGTGGAAACAGGAGTCAGTAGTTTCCAGGCCAAGTGACTCGGGGCTCTCTAGGACAGCAGTTTCCTCTATGGTAACTGAAGACACGTCTCTGTTCCTTCGCACATGTACGTGGACGTGCATGTGTGTGCACGCGGAGGCCAGAGGCTAAAGCCTAGGGTGTCATTTCTTGGGTGCCATCTATCTTGATTTTGAGACATGCTCTTTTGCTGGCCTAGAACTCCCTGATTAGGCTGGGCTGGCTGCCGGTGATCCCAGTGATCTACCCGTTTCTGCCTTTCCAACCTGGAAAACAAGTGTGTGCCCCTATGCCTCTCCAGCCTCTCTCTCTCTCTCTCTCTCTCTCTCTCTCTCTCTCTCTCTCT